GGGATGGAGGTGGGGGCGGACCACGCCTGGCTGTTTGGGGAGGCACAGCCTCCTTTACCTGGCCCTCCATACAATTTCCGAAACCCGATACGGCCCTCAGGCCAAAAAGTTTGCCTGCCCCTGGGCCAGAGCCTTCCTCTGAGAGAAGCTAGAGGGCACCCAAGAATGATTAAGTTGTTCCACTGAGCTCACTATCCCACCTTGTCTGTTTTATTTCTAGCTCCATTTTGGCCAAGATGCACCATGCCCAGCCCCCAACCAGTCAGGTCATAGGGCCATTGTTACCAGAAACTAACAAGGATTGTTAAAAGAAATCATTTTGCTACCACCATGTAAACTGGCTTCAAAATGGATCTGTCAATTTTGCATTTACACAATTAAATTTCAGAGGATTCAGATAGCAAACAGAAAAAGGAGCTTTTCTGAGTTTCGTGTCCGTTGGCATAATTGGAGACCGCAGTTTCTATCTCTGACATCCATGTTTTCTGTAAGAGGAAAAATAATGCTTGATAAACCCTGAGGACCTAAAAAAGTTTTAATAACTAAAATACCTGAACTTTAGTGTCTTGAATCTATAAAAATACATTGTACAGTGTTTGATGGGGCACCTTCTCCAAGCTTACTTCTAGAAGAGAAGATTGATTTATGTTCATAAATTGTTCCATAAACCTGGGATCCAGATTCTCCAGTCTGGCTCAGGGCATATTACGCTGCATAAGCTGTGCAAAGTGGCCTTAAAACAACCAAGATCTCTGTGGATAGCGAAACTCTCTGCCGCCTCCTGCACCAGCCATCTCCTCACTCCCATCATCCGAGGAGGAACATGGGTAAGAGGTGGAGCTTCAAAACTCATGATTCTTCATTGGAGTAAGGTCTGTTACAGACCTTATGCCGGAGTAGGCCCCCTGCTATCCCCATTTATTCCAAGGCCATTCACTCAAGTATTCACACAGTGGAGAATCAGGGCCCGGGTTTTGTTTAGTAACACGAATAACTTTTCTACAATCCAAAAATAGGAACTTTTCACTGTTGATTAGCCTACATGTGCAAAGAGTGGAGCATAGATTACAATATCAAGCAGATAAAGGGCAGAACAAAATTGAACCACAATACAAGTTCAGTTCAACTACCATGCAGTCTCTAGTTTTCCCATAGAAAACATGATTGAGAAGCCATGGTGTAATATTCCCAGCTGGGCTTTTAACTGCGCGGTAGTGCAGAGATGACACTGGTCATATCTGTGGATGGTGTCTTGGGCAACAGACAGTCTTCCTTGTTAATACTGTTACTCTGTCTATCCTAGCACTTGTGTTAGTAAAATGTATGTCACTCAGGGGTGTGAAAAAAACATCCCGGAGAGACCTAAGTTGCACCGACTAAAGCGCTGGTGTGGACAACGCTATGTCGATGGGAGATGCTCTCCCGCTGATATAGCTGCTGCCACTCGTTGGGGGTAATTTAATTATGCCAGCGGAAGAGCTCTCTCCTGCTGGCATAAAGTAGCTACACTGGAGACCTTACAGCAACACAGCTGCAGTGGTACAGCTGTGCCCCTGTAAGGTCTCTAGTGTAGACATGGCCTTAGATCAGTCAGCTGTCAGAGCAGTTGGTCACGAGATACTGCTTGTGTGCTCATGACATCCGATGAGCATTGACAGACATACTAAGATAGCACCAATTTTTTTGTTGGATCACAGAGGGTCGTTACAGGTAGCTGCTGCTGCTCCTCTCAGAGAGCTCTTCTATGTGGTGTCCAAGGTTCGATCTCATCTTCCTTCCTATATGATATATGTGTCAGACCTCTAGAAGAAGTAAATCCCTGTGGCCTTCAGTGCTACGAGTATACTTATGGCCTCCAGATCTACATTCTCTTATCCTCAAAAGCAGATCACTTCCTCGGGTCGCAGAGCCTTGTGAGAGAAACACCTAGGTGAAAATCACCTGGCTAAAACTCAGTCTGGGCAGCACAGAAGTGTTGCTGGTTGGGAAGAGAGCAGTGCTCTGAAGTTCCATAATGGAGAGCATTGGTGGTGCAGATGGTGAGAGTCTCAGGGACCTAATGAACTCCTCACTGCTCCAGGACACCAAATGAAAAGTAATACTCAGAAATGTCTCTTCCCACCTAAATGGCCAGGAGGCTAATAGCTGAGCTCCTGTGTCCTATCAGATACAGAGCTAACCATGACTGCGTCATCATCTCCAGAGTCAGATAGTGTAGCACTGTATTCAGGGAAGACATTAGGGGCAAAAAAACTGTTTTTAAGGATGTTTTCTCACTGAATGAATTAAATAAACCTGTTTTAAAAATAGAAAGATAGAAAAACAACTGCAGTCATGTGCAACTCTAAGGAATCCACATATAAGTCATGAATAATGTTTGAATACTGGATCTTTTCTGTTTCTAGCACAGACCTCTCTAACTTTTCATCTAAGGGAGTAATGGTTATCTTGTCTGTGGAGCAGCCAGAGTGGGGGAGGAGGGTGACAGACCTACTTTGGAGTGGGTGATCGTGCCAGGAGACACCTCTCATGAACGCCTCCTGTCAGGTGCGAACCTGCACTCTCTTTCTCTCTCTCTCTCTGCTCCCAGCGTCCCCTGACAGCTTGTTAATCTTCAATGGCCCAGCCCTCTGGCCAGGTCACACACAATCAATATGTGAACAAACAAATAAACTCTTTCCGGGGTAAAAAAATAAGTCCAACAGGGCCTATCATTGAGCACTGGTTGGTATCTGAAGCCCTGTAACTGGGCTTAGTTCTCAGCCCTTCTGGGCTAGCTTTAGGCCCATCTCTGCCCTGGTATGGAGCAGTGCCCGCAGGGCTGTCTCCCTGGAGACTCTTTGCCTTATCAGTGCTTCTTGACCCAGCTTTCCAGCCAGGTTACTCCTTCAAGGTCAGTCCCCTTCTGCGGGTGACAGAGTTCAACAAAGGGTTGGTGCTCTACAGAGTCATCAGTCATGTCCTTGAACCCTTTAAATTCTAGCTTTGTGCTTGGGCTTCTACATGAAACTTGTCCCCTTCTCGGGCCTTTGGCCACTCCACCAGGTCACAACCCAGGGCCCCAACAAATAGCAACCATGTGTGCTGCTTCCTTTAACTCTTCTGCTATTGCCGTTCCTTGAGCCATTTCCCACATAACCCCTTCCTCTTCACCCTTACCTCAGGGCTGAAGTTCTCAACTCCCTTCCTTCCTTACGGAATGCCAGTGCCACCAGAACCTGTCTTTTGGTTCTCACTTGAGCACCAGCAAGAGACACCTTCCTTACGCCACTGGTCCTGCCAGAAACTGACCTGCTCAGCCCTGCAGCTCCTTTTAACTGTGCCGGCTTCACTCTGGCCGCTTCCCTGCAGTCTCTCTAGGCAGACCTGGAGGACCCACCTTCACTGCTCCTTTTCCACAAGCAGGGTGTGGCAGGGCCACAAAGTCTCCAACAGAGGGCCCTGGTACACCCCGTCACAGTGATACAGCTGTGTTCTACGCAATAGTGAAATGTTGGGTTCAGGATTCTTGGGCTCAATTCCTAGCTCTAGGAGGAAGGGTGTGATCTCGTGGTATGGGTCAGAAAAGCCAACCAAATAGACTGGGCAGAGCCTTTCTGATGGGCTGTACAGCTGTGTGAATGAGACTTAGATCTGCCATATTAGAGACTTGGATTCTACTCCTAGCTTTGCCAAAGTGACTTTGTGCAATTTTTCAATTAACTTATCTCTCACGCTCTCATATGTCTGCTGAATGTTGTTTGACTGTGCTATGCAGTGGTACAGGGAGCCTGATTTAGCTGTAATATGGAACATCCCGCAAAATCCAGTAAATCTAAGAGCTGTTCTCAGCTGCTTCAGGATGCAGTAGCCTTTTCTGAATAGGACAAGTCAATGAGAACATATCATTGGTGCTCCATGCAATGTACTGGCTCTTTTTGAAGTGCCCCATCTACTTCAAGATCCTGATCTACAAAGTTGTCAGAGGATCGCAGACAGTGTTTTTATTCTTAGACCCACAACACCAGCTGGAAACATCAGGGCCCCTTGGCTGAACTAGTCGAAAATTGTGCTGATTGTGAAGTGCAAAATGAGGCCAGCTCATTTCATGTAGGCCCCCAAAATACTGTCCAATGCGATATAGCTTTTTACAATAATGTGGAACTGAAAGACAATGTGTCGTTGCATTATTATTAACCTATAATGCAGATGCTGTTTAATATCAGGATTTTAGTGCTCAATCGTATATTGCAGGACTGGGAGAAGACGGAAGTAAACTGGAACACTGCCAATGTTGGAGGGCAAAGTATTGTAGCAAGATTGTAACTACTTTCAAAACCTATTTCAGATGTGAGCCAGTGACTTAGAAGTAGAAAGGGTATATTTATTGCCTTGCCCTGGGGGCCGGGGCACATCGTCTACCATGTTCTGTATTTTTAAGAATTAGTGTTATTTGAAAGTCTCATTTTGTTCTTCCAGGTGCTAATGAATGAAATACAACTTATAGAACTAATCTGTTATGTTCCATGAAATGCCTAGCCCACATTTAGATGCTGCAAATAAATAATAAAATGCACCGGTCTATTACTCAAAATTCAGGATGGTGTGCAGATGAAGGGGAATTTACATACTCTTGGAATCAAACTCACTTTCTTGGAGACAGATACGTTTTCATACCATACCCACTGGTATGAAATTACAATAGTTTTATAAATGTATATAATAATATATATGCAAAAATTATAATACACATTTTCAAAGTGTGGTGTGGGATAATTAGATTGACAATGTCAAAGTTTTAATGTCTTAAAATTATTACATATAAATTGTTTTAGTTTTTGGGAATGGCTCAGTTTCTTGATTTCTGTTATGCAGGAATTGAACTTTAATAAGTCAGAATTTGAAAAGCTAGTATGTGACCTGCTGGAGGTCCTCACTTAAAATCAGTACATGAGTACTGTAATTACAAACTCTATAACAGTGGAAGATTTGTTCTGTCAGATATAGTTGCTTAAGTAAAATTCTCTTTAGGAGAGATCTTTCCTTCGATACATGTAATTTTAAAAAGGTCTTGTAAAATACAGGACTTACTTTGACCGTCTCTGTTTGTGCTTGTAGTAAGAAGACTCCGATGCACTGTTGATATCTATTTTCATGTTGTATTACAAAAGCATTTTGCAGCCCAAGGACTATAAAACAAAACAAAGCAAATGAAAGAACACACACAAGGTAAGTCACCTTATCAAAATCCCATCAGATTGATTCACTATATATCAATCATATCTTTGTGTCTCCTTGGAAAATCAGCTTTTCTGATTGCTTATTAGGGAAACACATGCTGGCAGTTTGAATTTTATGTTATGAAAAAAATAGCCTCAAATTATTTCAAAAAGTTGGTTCTGCAATTAGCTGCTTTTGAGTCTTGTTCGGGGGGGAAATGCTCTAAAGAGACATGCTATGGGCTGTATTGAAAATACTTGGGGAGATTCTGTGCTGAGACCAAGAGATAAAGCAAAGAACTTGCAGCCCAGGGGTAAGGGGTGGGTCCATGGTGGCTTTAAACCACCTGTGCACCATCCTGACACTGGGATGCTCCCATGGCTGGAGAGGTCCCAGGTGTAACTTAAACAGCCTGTGTGAGTTATGGCTGCCCTATAGACTCCTTACTTAGACTTAGAGTCTCCTGTGCCTAGTGTCACATAAGGCAACCCATTTTTCCCACTGCTATCTGTCCAGAGCAAGAAGTTTGACTCCATCAGATGTTGCCATAGTGGAGACAACTTCCTTTTTGATCATCCTGCGATAGGTCATTCTTTGTCCTGCATGGCTTCTCTTCCCGCCAGTGGAAGCCAACCTAAGATGCATCTTGTCCTTCTGCCATGGGATAGCCTGATGACCTGGCTGAACCACTGTAACCATCTCTGTCTGATTGTTCAGTCCCCAGTGTGCTGACGAAGTTTCTTCTTAAAAAGCACTGCTGAAATTCATTCAGCTTTCTCTTGTACCTTTCCACCATCTGCCACGTTTCCAAGGTGTACAATTGTGTGGGAGGACAATAGCATTATACAATCTCATTTTAGTGTGTAGATGTATCTTCTTACTCTTCCAGATATTTGACAAATGGGAAAATAATCCACTGGTTTTGCTGATTCTTCCTTCACTTCTTTAGCGAGCTGACCATTAGCAATATTGTACTTCCAAGAAGGCTGAAGTCCTTAATTCTTTCTTACTCTTTTCCATCAATCACATATCAACCAGTGTTGGCAGCATTCTCCCTATCTCCATGATCTTAATCTTCTGTGTACTGATAAGTCCCATTTTGGCAGCTTCTGTTTTTTTGCTCATAAAGAGTCTTTTCATTCCATCCAAATTGGTATCCAACATGACTGTATCATCTGCAAAATCTAGGTCTTTCAGCTTATCTCTTGCCCAAATAATACCAGTGATCTGGGCAGCAGCCATTGCTCTTCTCATCACAAAGTCCGTGACAATACAGAAGAGAAGTGGGGAGAGTATGCAACTTTGTCTTGCACCACCAGTAACAATCAGTGTCTCCATTCTGTGTCCTGACACAGCAGGCACACTCATCATACAAAGCTTTTATCCAATTAAATATGTGAAAACAGGGGCTGAATGAATGCCTCCCTGACAGCTAGCTGGGAGGGGAAGAGACTATGGGTGTGTTATGTAAATACCGTTTGCTCCTTCTCTGTTTACATGTTCATCAGATACAGCTGTGTCAAAGGATCAACTGTGGCTGGTGTTGGGTACAAGTCACCTTAGTACTGAATGCAGGGGTAGTGAAATATGGTTACCAATGTTGTAATTATTGTAGGAATACAGGAAAGCAGGACTGTGCTTAACCTGTCCCAAATGAGTGGGGAGGTGCCCTCAGTTGAAAGAACCTCATTAAGCAGGGGCTTGAATGTCAGAGCCCTGTGAAAGTAAGATGGGTGGGGATAGGAGTCCCGGTGTCCTGGTCAGGAGGCTGCACAACCCCCCTTCCCATCCCCCCCAGGGTCCTCTCCAGACTGGCTTAATCTGTTCTTCCCCCCTTTCAAAGAATAGAGCTAAATAGGCTTCATTAGAAGCCTCTCTTGTCATTTTAATTGTTCAATCAGAGCTGAAACCACTTGTGGTAGGACTGTGTTTCTGCCCTGCTGAGAGCTAAAATCATGAGAGCTGAAATCACTTGAGAGGGGGCAGTGTTTCTGCCCAGCCTGCAAAAGAGCTGAAAATCACTGAGACACTGATGTGCAGACGT